TTAAAAAATCTGGAGACAACAGATTTTTTAATGATCGCCATTCTAACTGGCGTGAGATGGTATCTCAATGTAGTTTTGATTTGCATTTCTCTAATGACCAGTGATGATGAGCATTTTTTCATGTTTGTTAGTCTCATGTATGTCTTCTTTTGTAAAGTGTCTGTTCATATCCTTCGCCCACTTTTGAATGGGCTTGTTTGTTTTTTTCTTGTAGATCTGTTTTAGTTCTTTGTAGATTCTGGATATCAGCTCTTTGTCAGATGGGTAAACTGCAAAAATTTTTTCCCATTCTGTTGGTTGCTGATTCACTCTAATGACTGTTTCTTTTGCTGTGCAGAAGCTATAGAGTTTGATTAGGTCCCATGTGTCTATTTTGGCTTTTGTTGGCAATGCTTTTGGTGGTTTGGTCATGAAATCCTTGCCTACGCCTATGCCCTGAATGGTTTTGCCTAGGTTTTCTTCTAGGGTTTTTATGGTGTTAGGTCTTATATTTAAGTCTTTAATCCATCTTCTTTTGCCTACTTTTTTGAGGCAGTAATTCGTTTTTCACTTATTGAATTTTTTTAATTTCCTTATAGATTCTGGATATTAGACCTTTGTCAGACACATAGTTTGTATTTTCTCCCCTCTTGTAGGTTGCCTGTTTACTCTGTTGATGGTTACTTTTGCTGTGCAGAAGCTCTTTAGTTTAGTTAGGTCCCACTTATCAATTTTTGTTTTTGTTGCAATTGCTTTTGAGGTCTGAGTCATAAATTCTTTCTCAAGGTAGATGTCCAGAATGGTGTTTCTTAGGTTTTCTTCTAAGATTCTTATAGTTTGAGATCTTACATTGAAATCTTTAATCCAGCTTGAGTTAATGTTTGTTTACGGTGAAAGGCAGGGGTCCTGTTTCATTCTCCTGCATGTGGCTAGCCAGCTATTCCAGCACTACTGAATAATGCTCATGTTCCTTGCTGACTCCACCACTCCTGCCCAACCTCACAATTTTGGGAGACCCATACCAACTCATTTCATAATTTCATTCAGTCTTAATAGCTGTAAATATTCACTATATGACAATGAGTACCAAATTTAAATCTCTAGACCAGATCTCTCTTCTGAACTCAAAACTGAGAATCTAATATTCCCAAAATTACCCACTCAGTCCTCATTTTAATTGATGGGGAACCATCTTTGACTCCTCTCTTTTAAGTCCCACTATTCTGAGATTTGATCAGCTTCACTTTCAACCGTATCTTCTTGTCACCCCCTTCACTATGACACTCATTCAAACTACCACCATCACTGACCTAAATGACTGCAATAAGCTCCTAATTGGATTTCCTCCATACAATCTCCTTTCCACACAGCTCTCATTTAACACATAAATCAGATCATGTCATTCCCCTGCTCAAAGTCTTCAATGGCTCCCTTTCTCACTCAGGAGCCAAAGCCCTCGGAATGCTCTACAAATCCCCATATGATCTGGCTTTCCATTATTCATCTGACTTTGTCTCTTATCATTCTTCCCTCATTCTTCAATCCAGCACCATTGACCTTATACACTCCAGATATCTGCTTAGCTAACTCTCTCCTCCTTTAAATCTTTGCCCAAACTTTACCTTCTCATTAAGATCTATCCTAAAATCCTATTTAAAAGTACAGCATGCCTCCTATCCCCAGTATTCCAAATATCTTTGCCTTGGGCATTTTTTTTCAAACCACTTATTGCCTTCTATACAGTTTGATTATTTATCATGTTTATTGCAAATGTTTACGTATCCTTTCTCTACAATGTAAGCTTCATGAAAGAAGGAATTTTTCTCCGCAAGCACTTCAAGTGTTGCTGCCACACAGTAAGGGATTAATACAATATGTGTTAAATGAATATATGAATTTGTGTTAAGAATAGAGCAGAAAAGTGTCTTGTTTGGAAATAGGCAAGTCAGTTATTGAATAGGAGAAGTCATTTTTTTCTGTCAATTTTAATTAACACACAAAACTAATATTAAAGGAGAAAGACTAAGGAAAGATTTAAACGGAGTTTGAAAAGTCTTTCAAAGGAAAAAGAATATAAATATTTTTAGGAGGCTTCTATTGGTAGATATTTAGATTGTCTGTAGTTTAACACATATCTATTTCCACCTTTATTCATATGTCTTTGCCTGTATGTGAAACATGTATCTAGAATGAATTACTGGCAGTAGATTCACTAGGTCATAAAGTATGTACATTTTAAATTTTGAATGACATTACCAAATTGCCTTTTATGAGTGTGCCTCTATTTACACAGGCATTATCAGGAAATATATATGCTTATATATTATAAATTTTCTATAATAGCCTGTTTATTATTATAATAAAAGAAATATTAATATATGCATATGAAAAACAGCCATTTTAATTATTGGTACTTTTACAAAATATTTCAATAAAGTATAAAAATAATGACCAAAAGCAATGTGAGAGTTAAATGTGGAATGATGACTGAATGAATTATGACTAAATTAAGAAATGGCTATATGAATTAATGGAGGGATGGATGGATAGGTGGGTGAATGGGTAGGTGGATGGATGGATGGATGGATGAATAATTAGGGGAATATTGAATGAGTAGGTACTTGGCAAGAGATGGTGAATATGCATGAGGGGCAAATGGGAAAACAGAGTTACCTGGTTTTATGGAATGATCAGGACAACATCAGAAAAGTAACTCTGCTTTGATGGAAAAAAGAAAAAAAGCTAATTGGAGGAAACAATTGAAAATCATGTTTTGTTTCTTTTCTGACTAATTTCAAGAGAATAACATGAATTAGAATATAGGAAGCATCAACAAAACCTTCCCTTCTCACAAAGCAAAACACTCATGACTGCTTGACTAAAACAAGTGTCAATGTGATGCTGACTGGGAATCAGATGGTGATGTTTCTAAAATTAAATTGTAAACTATGTTCTCATCTCACACATCTCAGCATATCACTGCTTCAGAGATGCAGAGAAACTTGGAAGATTTGGGCATTAAAAGTAATGACTAACCTTTACCATAGGGAACTCTTCCCAAAGAGGGGGGATGTTTTAAATTCATGACAAATCATGGAAACCAGCAGAAACCCCCGACATTACCTGGTCACCCCACTCAACATATCTCAGATTCCCTTTCTTTCACAGAAAACTGACCCCAGGTCCCAATGTGTTCTGACTTGATATTACCTTCCTAAGAATACATGACATCGAAAATCCTCTTTGTCTCTATAGCCTCTGTACAAGTTCTAGTTATTTCTCTTTATAATCAATGTCAGTACCCTGAGATTATTTAGAGAGACTCTCTCAATCCCCTGAACAACATATCTCTTTAGAAAATTATGAAAGAATATGTCTTATACATTTACTGGAAAATTTGCATGGAACTATACCTGGCTGACAAAACCAGTGGGAATGAAACAAACATATGTTTAGAAGTCAGAGAGACCTGAGTTTGAACCTTGACTCTGTTGTTTCTAGTTGGATAAATCTCTAGCCTCTAGTTCTTCAAATACTTAACGCTAATGTGTTATATATTAAGTTGGTCTATAGAAGCCCTAACACATTATAGCCTTCCATTTTTGAATAATGGTCCCCAAGATAAAATACAAAGGGCAAGACAGATGTGCCTTTGTAATCTGCCATTATATATTGATTATTGATTTGGGGAGTTTAGTAATTTGGAATTTACTTATTCCAAAAAAATGTAATGGTCAAGAAAGCCAAGAACCTCTGTCGTTGTTGCATATGCAGACAGCATTTTGGCGTTCTTTCACTGATGAAGTTCAGGGCATCTTCTAAATTTATGAAACATCTGTTTAAGCAGCTGGTTATTCATTAAATAAAAATAAAAATGTACCACTTTTCCCTGGCAATGCTAATAAATGGGAACAGGTGATGATCCCAAAAGAGATTATGATTATAAATGAATGTATTGAAATTCTTCACTATTTTTATAGAGGCATCAAAATAAAAACATATAAAAAGTGAAAAAGGACCTCATGGAGCCCCTGGAATACACTGGGGACCCCAGCGTAATGGCTCACCTGCATGTCCCACTCCACTTAAATACCACATTCTAAATGGAAATACATCAGGATCAAAACTGATATTCTTTCTGCATCACTCCCTAAATTTACCACCTGAAAATTTCTAGTTAGTAGCAGTGGAGAAATTTCTAAAACTCAAATTCCAATCATAACTACATGAAAAGGCAACATTTCGTGAAACTCATGTTGAAAAGTCTGCTTCAGACTATAAGGACCAAGCAATAATTTGAGATGCTTTGTGCTCACACATCTTTACAAGACAGGAAAATGGGATTATACTCACTTGTCAAGTAAGGAAATAGAAATTAATTGACTTGAAACTATACTAAGTGTTTTGACCTAACGGATCATATTTGATCAAAAACTCAAGATTCAACTTCCAGTTTCCCATCAGTTGTCAATGCCTTTTTATTAGAAAGGTGCTTAGAAACTAGAAAACAAGTCAAGCCATTTGCATTTAGCAATGCAACAACTGGGAGATGGTTTTCTGCTTTGCTCCTTATCCCTCACCTTACCCAAGTGACCAGTGGACTTTTCTGTACCATTTTCTCTTTGCAGATTCCCACCACAATCATGGAACTGAAAAGTTCCAGCACCCAAATGGTAAAGCAAGGTCAAGAAAAAGGACAATACTTTCATTGTGAGCTAGACTCAAGAGTTGCTTTTAGAATTTAGGAGCAAGAGATGCTTAACTGTTATGAGTAGCTGTGATGATGCATAATTAGACAGTGATTTAACACAGAGCTAAAAAAAAATAAAAATGACAGTAATCATGGGGGGAAAGAATAAAATGCCAATGAAAGCAGTTAAATGAGCCGAAGTGCCTGGCATTTTTGTGATGTGTATCTGTTAGTAATTTGTCAGATGATAACAATAGAGGTACTTTCACAAATAACAGGGATTCATCAGTTCACAATAGCACTCACTGGTATTTAAGACCAAAGAAAAGAAATTGTATTTGGCTTATCAACTTAAAGAAACAGTTATGAAACTTGGCTCTAGCCTATATATTGCAAAGTGAAATGGAGAACAGATCCTTAATCAGGAAAATTCAAAGCTGTACAAATCTGAGTTATAATGACTTTCAAGGTAGACAATTGCTTTGGAGAAAGTTGCACAAAACTAAGAAAAGGTTAATAATGGTGTTTTATGGGTAAGACAGGTAGACTGCTTCCTGTCACCTTTGGAATACACCCTGGCTGTTGCAATCCTCTCCAGCTTCACCTGAACACCCATCAAAAGCACTGAAAATTCTAGCCATGGAAAGCCACCCTCATTTCCCCCAGTGAGCTTAGTTTTTCTGCACCTGTGCACATGTGATTTCTCATAACATTTCACTCATACAGCAACTCATCCCTCAATGTTAAGTTCAAGTGACATTTCTCCCAAGCTTGTCCTGCTGACTCTGGTCTCCTTATCCTCCAGAATGCCCATATATTGCTGCTCTGTACTTCCATCTCACTGCATGGCATTAATCACTCTATATTGTAATAACCGGTTTGTAGCTCTTTCTTTCATTCACACTAACTGGGAATTCCATAAGAGCAATAATTGCGTTTCTTTGCTATTTCCTCAGTCCTTGATACATAACACATGCACGACAAATATTGATGAATGAATGAGAGAATTAAAGTATCAACAGTGAGAAAAATATGTATTGAATCACTCTCCCCACTGTCATTCTCTTCCCAGTATCTATGAAAGACACATAAGGGAACTGTTCGTAAGTTTCTCCTTATTCAAAAATTGCTTCTAACTCAAGGGATAATTTCAAACACTTTTAGGAGTACGTTGACTCAAAATGTCCCTACAACTATAGTGAA